CGCAGCGCCTCCGGCTCGGGCAAGCCCGGCCAGGCCCCCCGCGCCCGGAGGCTGCGCTTCCCTGCGCGGTTTTCTCCCTACGAGCCCTTTCTTTCCCCCTCCCCTACCCCCAAATCCAGGAGCTCTTGGTCCCTTCCTGCTCCCGGCCGCTGCCTCTAGCCAGCAGAAACCTGGGCAAAGCCCTCTGTGTCTCTTGTTCTGTCACGGGGCGAATTTTCTACCGATTTAGAAGGTTAAATCAGCTTATGGGGGGGTCTGAGAAGCGCCAAGAGCGACACAGATTCAGTGGCGAAACGCTCAGGGATGCAGGTTTGTTAATTCGTTTAATCATGGTCTAAGTGTCCCTTAAAAGTGTTGCCAGAGCCCATCTCTCCGGGGGATAAAACCAGTTTAAAAGGTTCTGCCCTCTCCCCTGTGCAGTCTTTTTGCAAAACAAATATTTTTGTTCGGTTTCCTGCAAATTTATGGTTAGATGATGACCATGCTGGTAAATATTAGTGTTAGAAAGCACAGGATTATGAAAGTAGAGTTGTGGAAATCCTAAAAGTTTGCCTGTAATGCGTGTTGCTAGTACCTGTTGTGGAATCATTAACAGATTCCAAAAGAGATGTTTGGTTTCAGAGAATAAAAGCAATTTGCTAAATTTAAACATGGGAGTATCAGAAAAAAAATCACATTTAAGCAGAGGGAACAGGTAGATAAAGGATGGAACCAGATGTAGTCAACAAGAAGTTGCCTTTGGAATAAAGCGTAGTGGGCTAATTGCAGTGTTCAAAATGCTTTCTCTTGGAAAATACAGGATTGCCGGAACTTGGTGTGATCGAGGTTTAAATGACTTTTGCACAGTGGCTTCTGCCCCTCTCTGAACCTGTTCTGCAAGGTGCAGATCACATTCCTTAGATCCCCTTTTAAGGAAGCATTTTCTTTCAGCTCCTTTATTACGTTTACTGAAACTTAATCTCAACCACTGTCTTTGTAGAATTTATCCATACAGTGGCTAATAAAGCAGGTAAATTGTGGTTTGCTATGCGCAGTTAGGAAAGTAAGATTTATTAAACGAGTGTAGGGATCCTCCAGGCAGATCTCAGTAGTCCAGTGCTGAAGTTAAACATTGACCTGCTGCCTAGGACTTTGGTTTCGTGTAACCCTGCCGAGTGTCACCTGCTGCACTGGCAGGGCAATACTGTGGCAAAGGTGCTCGTAGCTGTTTGAATGTGACATTTTAACAGCTCGCTCCTCTCTCGTGCTTCAGCAGAAGATAAAAAATGAATTAAAATGCCATTTCAAGGGAAGTGGGAGTTGGAATGTGGAAAATGTTGGGGCTTTTGTGCAGTGTTGCATGTACATAGGCCATCGTTTAGCAAGCCCCGTGGCAATGGTGTCGTCTGCAGCGGGACGCGGGTAGGTGGTTGCCGTGGCAATGGTGTCGTTGTCTGCAGCGGGACGCGGGTAGGTGGTTACGTTTGTACCTGGAGGAGGTGACTCTTCACCCCCCTTCACTGTTCACCTTATGCACAGGGAAATGATGAGCCTTTGGGGGTCTCCGAAGGGAAATGATGAGCCTTTGGGGGTCTCCGAAGGGAAATGATGAGCCTTTGGGGTCTCCGAGCTGGGGCCAGGTCCGGACGAAGTCTGGTACTCGTTTCTAATCTTGCTTGTGCTGGTTACCTTGAGCTGGAATAAATTTTGTGTGCAGATAGGCCAGTTTATCCATTAAGTCCTGCCTCTGGGACTGTTCTTCCCAGCGCAGGTCTGGGGTTTTACACACACTATAATTTGAAGAAAAAGAAAACAAAGAGAGAAACCCTTTCATTCTTGCAATGATTACTTTCAAATACAGCTGGTTTCTGCCTGCTCCATGCCTCTCTTTCTTGCTGCTTTGGGCTTTCTTGCAGAGTCTAAAGCCTGATTGATAAAACTCCTGGAGAATAGAAGAATTCTTCTGGAACTGACAAGATTAGGTGCATTTCCATGTGATACAGAGTGTTTCCCTCTTGAATGCTTTGCTATGGGGAGCTTGACATACAAGTCCAAGAGGAGTATATTAAATAAAACTCGTTTTTCTCTAGTTAAGAGGCTTTGTACACAGGAGGTGTCCTAGACAGCTCTGACTTGACCGTGGGAAATAGGATTTTTTAAATAGGTTGTGAAGTTGCTAGCAAAAATACAGCCGGTCCTGGATGGTGCTTTTGGTGAAGGAATTTTTGTGTGTTTTAACAGCAAAAATATGTTGCGTTATTTGTATGCGAGTAGGGAGGAAATAAGGGAAATAAGCTATGTCTGGAGTGAGTGAGTTCACTGTCACGGTCTAGTTCTAGGGAGATTTTCTCCTGTGTTTGTTGGAAGGTGGTCGGTTGTGTCATGCATCAACTTCATTAGCTGTGTTTTGTTTGCTCGGAGGTATGTTTTGTTTTAAATGTAAGATTTGTTTGGTAAATCCTACTGTTCTATTTG